ATCGGTAACAAATTATCAAGTCACTGAACAACGAAAGTGGTCAATGGATTTGAAAAAAAATGAGTTCACAACTTATAAGCATGGAACATTTTGCTACTGGCCAATAAAATGAGCCTCTCCATATGCTGCATTCTTAATTGTAATCGTGGCATACAATGTGCAAGTAGAATAGAAGGAACAAATAAAATTTCAAGAAAGAAAGTGCAGGCTTTATATTAATTTAACCGAGTTTTGTTGTTATTTTGCCCATACTATTGCCAGATTCCAACATAATTCAGTTTAAGAGAATCTTTGCAAGGCTACTTTGTTACGTCTTGTTGCTACTTAACTGATTGATTTGCTTTGGTAGTCGTATTTACGTCGGGAACATTAAGGGACTTAATAGACCTACCGCAATAAGAAACAGTTCCAAAAAATGCGTTTCTTCAAGCACAGAGTTTGAACAGGAGGTTTTCAGCCACAACTTTTGGGAAACAGTTGCATTATGCAATCTGTTTTGCATACATAGCCTAAATATTTTTCGACAACTGGAAAACAAATTGCGCTTGCAGCTTTATTTCGCATAGGAGAAAAACGAATTAGAGGAATGCTTCAGCTATTACATAATATTTGCCATCCTTTGTATTTCTGGCAGGAACGTGTTTGTCAGTAAAGTTACTACATTTCACGTCGATAAATCCGATAAGTATTTTAGGGCTGAGACGAATGTTATTTATGAGTAATATTTTGTGTTTAACATTTTAATCTGATTGGAACATTTGTCTACATTTTCCATAAAAAGGCCGGCCCTATTATGCTTGTGTTATTGTACAGTTTGCATCACTTTTAAGTTGATGTATTAATAAACAGGACTATTTTAAATCTTCAAATGAGTTTAGGATTACTGTACTTGAAAAATGAAACGGTAACTCTTCTGTCTGTCTTTATGGTTATCGTAATTGATGGTTTAGTATAGAACCATGTAAAAGTACACAAATGGTTTACTTTTCCATCCAAGTTAGAAATTAGAATAGACATGCGTAATTAAAACAAAGGCGTTAGCATAGAGGGTCTCTTAATTTCGTTTTGGCGTTTTGCGTCGAATAACTATAAACGACGAATCGTTTTTCAAATTGCTGCCACCAAATATTATCTCTCTGTGTTACATTTAAAGAAATTAAATAATGAAGAAATAATGAATATATGTATGCATGTTTCTCGCAATGTGATAAAATAACGGTACCTAGAGCCGTCCAATTTTGAATAATGTAATCCTCCTGCGAATATGAGCATAAAAGTCCAAATTTGGAATTTGTTTTATTATCGATTTTTCATATTTTGTAAAACTTTAACGAATTTTTTATTAAGAAACTAAACAATTTCAAAGTGAGCAATTGCAACACTGTACGAAGGGGGAGGGATAACTCCAGCGCGTGAGACTGTGTATCGGAAATTCTAAATTCTATATACAACAGGCCTATACGCTCTAATTCTATATGCACTTTTTAAATAGTTTGTGATATTGCTGTTGAATTGAATTTTATGGTTTAAATGCGAAGAACATGATATTTAATAAATAAAGGTACTACACAAAACATAAAAAAAAGCTTCTTTGGGCGTAATATAAAATCTGAAAGCTTTCAGACTTTTTTATGTATTTTATTTATTCATTATTTAATATCTTAATTACTAACGATTTTATTAGTCATTTTATTTATTCTTCTTGCTCTTGACCTGATGGTCTTTCGTGGAGCTCTGGCACTTTTAGAAAGTAAGCTCTGTCCCAAAGAGAAACATTCTCTGATCATGATTAAATGTTGGATCAATCCTTCAAAAGATGAGTTATTTTCTACCACTCTGAGTAAGTAAATGACATCCTGTTTTAAACGGTATCAATGATCCTAAAACATTATTTTGAAACTCAACGATATCTCTTTACAAATTGCTATTTTAGAACTGATTCCTTCTATGTTTTTAAGTTCTACTTTTTTGCAAATACGGTACAATATATAAACATTTTAAAAATAAATCTCTTGTTTTCTATCTTGTCCCAAGAAACTAAAAAGCTTCTTCCCATCTCTCGTCCCCAATGTTCGAGAAGCGTGTTCGCCCGATTGTGAAGACATGTCCATTGACGTTCCAGATCATTGGATTTCCTTTATAAATAAGAAACGCACTATCTACGAGACAAATCGACTAAAAAAATACAGCTTTAAATTACATACCCTAGGAAAACAAAGAAAATTCACCAGAAATAATTTAGATGTTAGTCTAAAATCTGTTCAAAGAAATACTGTATTGAGCAATTTCAAATAACTTATCGCTTAATATTAGAACGAAATTTTGAATTTCAAAAGCATAAAAGTTTGATTTATTCTCCCATGTGTCTAGAGATACATGTAATATAAAGACAAAGCTTACGAAAGTTTCTAGAAACCCCAAATTACATACGAACGAATTTTAATTCTGAAACAAAGAAATGTTGAATCTTTACATTATGGTAATTTGGCGATTTTTTAGCTAAAATTTGGCGACCAACCCTGCTACAGCAACCTGCTAGTTTTATTTTGGGCGCCATTTTGTTTTCACAAAGTAAAATCGTGTATTTTTTTTTTTTTTTTTAACTCAGCATTTTTTGCAACAATCTGCTAGCCGAATTACTCTTATACTAGAACTTTTATGGAACAAAAAGCTTAATCATGACGAGATTAGGTGCGAATTGGGAGAAAGTGCAGAATCGAAACTGCTTGCGCGTTTTTAAGAATTGCACATACAGGGTATCCATGTACACGTCGACCTAATATTTTCACTTAAAAAAAAATCTCAGAATTGCACAAAAAAAAAAAAAACATTGCGCACACTCTTGACTTTATCTATGTACACATCGACCTATTTTCACTTAAAAAGTCAAAGAAAATTGACAAAAATCCAATTCTTCTTACTCTTGTAAAAAGCGTCAAACAAATAAGTGGGCGATTCTGCTCTTTAGCAGCGAAATTGTTTCTAAGTGCTTATTAGCTAAAATCACGATCGGAATTTTCCGGAAAATGTCACATTACATGTCTCATAATCTCTCATTTCTCTGAGACAAAATAATCTGTGATTGACACAACTGTGAACTTCTCAGATTATTGCTAAAGTCCTAGCTAGTAACCTTTATCGCCTTACCAAAATGTCGCCAAACTACCTGTTACCATATTCTAAAGATTAGCCAATTAAATAGCTATACGAGTACATGGTAAAATGGTGACTCATTTTTCACAATGATGTAATTTTTCCAGCCCCATTTCATTATCAGAATATGCGAATTTTAAACTGAAAAACTTTTCAAAATTATTTACTCACGAAGAAATTAATTATACATTATTGAAAAGGAGTTTTCTACTTCATATCCCGAAACGGAGTGAACTTTTCTGTATTCACACCGTCGCTAAAGCAAAAACATAATTTTCCGCCTATTTGGGAATTAAGAAATGCCAAACGGCCTGTTGTATAGTAACATACAAAATTAAAAGCGCTTTTAAAACGTTCTATTTTGGAAGGACACTTGATACATTTCTCAGACCTTATGAAGTACTTGCATAATGTTATATACTTAACTGCACATTAGCTGATAATTAATATTAAATATGCTTTCGCTTCATAATTAAAATATAGGTATTGTTGCGTGCGTACGGGTTCCTAATAAATTTTGAATGCATAAGTCCGATGAAAAGTGAATAAAATTTATTCTTATCACAACAAATAAAAACAAAATGCTTAAATTTTTTAGAGATATTCGTACAATATCCCAATATCTCACAGTAGTTATCTTTTAAATTATTAAAAACGTTCAACAGAACTTAATTCAAAACAGAGAAAGCTAATCAGATTTCACCGCGAATTCACTACAGTAAACAACAACAGTTATCCAAACAACTACTGAAATGAGATGTTTTCCTCCAGCTTTTATAAGCTTTTTAAATGCACGAGAAGCTTCTCGTAATTTCTCGATTTTTTCTGCATGACAAAAGCAATTACGAGATATCTATTTATTAAATGCGCGAGCTCCTGTATTTTTAATTTTTCGGAGTAGCTTATAAGGTATTTCTCCCTCCTTCCTAGTGTAGTGGTCTGCGTGTTGGGCGCATATTCCAGAGGTCCGTGGTTCGATTCCCGGCAAAGGCGTTGCTCATTCCTCATGACTCCTGCTTCTGAATTAACCTAATGACTCTAAAAGCTTTCTCTTCAAATAAGTCTCGTGTTGCATTGCACGGTAACATAAAACAATTTTAATTAATTCTATTTAAAAATAACTAAATCAATACAGAAAACCGTAACACTATAATAACCCATAAAGTATAGATAATGTCTAGAAAAAACGTTTTGGCACTGGATTTATTTTGACCACTTATTAAAGCTTATTTTTGACGCATTTCACTCTCTTCTTTTAAATGACAACCATATCGTTTATTTTTTCATTTAGAATGATATGAGTTATATGTAATAATTCCTTTATTTTCATTTCGATTAAAATGATATACTATAGATTACACAATGGTTGCCTGCTTGATTTTTGTGTAAGTCTAAAGTATCGATTACTCGATGAGATGAGCCTCGAGCTAATAAATAACTATCGATTAAACGAAGTAACGAATCTTCCATTTTTGCAAATAAGTATGCATTTTCAACAGATACTTGTGCAATTTTAGGTACTTTCTATTAATTTAAAATGATTAATTAATTAAACTAATTAAAATTATATAGTTATTTAATTACTGAAATATTTTAATCATAAAATTCTTTATGTTATACTAAAATGACAAAATAAAGACGAGAATCTGATGTTCATGAAAAACTTGCAGAAGTCCATTAAAATATTTCAAGAAATTTTGCTGTTTAAGGAACAGCTATATACTATATACTTTTTATTTAGGATGATTTGTTTTACAGAAGACGTTATGAGAATAATTAAACGAGCAAGTCCATTTATATTTAATTTAATAAGACTGAAAATTTTATAAAGTTATTTAATTACTAACCTGTCTGATTTGGTTCAGCTGCTGAATTGCACTGTCAAATTTGCTGTCATCTTCACTGTAATGCTCCAAGATAAAGTCCTAGATTTGAAACAAGGGGAAAGAAATGGGATATTGCATTTGATATCATTTAATAATAAAAATTGATAATATGCATTAAAGAATTTATTTAAGTAAAATTTTAAGAAGAAACGTAATTTACAAGTTTCAAATAAACTATGTATTTAGTTTTTAAAGGAGAAGTATTCCTTGAATAAAATTGAAATAATAGAATTAAAAATCTTTATATGAAAAAGAAAAAAATAGTTTAAGTCATCAATAAGTTACCAATAATTAATTTTATAAATATTTAAGAGATCTTTGTTTCTTTAAGTTTCTTCAACAATTAAGGAAATTTATTCTTCAAAGAAAAGGCATAACAAAATGTTTGGCAAAATTTCATGTATATAAATTTAAGGGGAAAAAAGATTTCAGTTAAGTTCTTTAATATTCTTAATTCAATTAATGAAATTAAATTGTCAAATTGGTAAAAAAAAATCATTAATATATATCCTTTTACCTTAAAGGGCTCTTTGAAATCAATTTCTTTTGTTTCTTTCAAACCCAGTGGTACCATTGGCATCGTAGATATTGAGCTGTAAAATAAATTGTCGTAATTGAAATTGGTAACTGGAAATAAAATAAAAATGTAACAGAGTAATGTATTTTTATATGTTTGTGAAACAGCTTAAAAATTTTTGAATTCTTAATGCTTTAATTTAAACTAGATATTAAACTATATACACTCCATTTACCTTCAACCTATAAAAAACTATTTTACAGCTCCCACAATATTCATTTAGCATATTACTTACTACTTAAAAATTCAGATTTCTAAAGTTTTTACGTTATTTGTATATTATGTTTTAAATTAATATTTGGAAAACTTAGAAAACTTTAATTATTCAGCTTTTTTTCAACATAGGCAATATATAAAGGAAACATACTATTTCTTTTCATAAAATAAGAGCGTGCATATATGAATTTTTGCGTTTTATGGGAAGTGCAAACTCGATATATTTTTATTCCCTTACAATATTCCTTCAAAAGAGATGAAAAAAAAAAAAAATTCTAATGCAGTTAAATATAACTGATTGATCTTTTTGAAGGTGACGGATAGGCATAAACGGTTGTGGTTATGTTTGCGCATGCGACGAGGGGGGGGGAATCCATAAATGGCTTAGTATCTTGCAACACTGTATTTAATTGGCATTGATAATGTCCTCTGAATTGCATCAGATTTTTTGATCGTGTTATCCTGTCATGGTGTCCAGTTGATGTTTTTACTTCAACAATTCGAATGACTCCGTCTTTCCCAGGAAAAAGTTCTGTGATTCTTCCAAGATTCCATTTCAAAGGAGGAAAGGAATCCTCTCTGAGATACACGAAGTCGTTCGTTTAGATATTTTTTGCCCTCAAAGTTCCCTTTTCTCGATGTTGCAGTTGATTCAGATAATCATATTACCCCCTTGACCAAACTATTTCGAAGTTGATGAATCAAATGCGAATACTTTATAATAATGAATATTGTTGCGTGCGTACGGGTTCGTTATGAAATGAATGCACAAGTCCGATGAAAAATGAACAAAAATTTATTATTATCACAACAAAAATGCTTAAATTTTCTCAAAGTATCAGCAGTATTACAATATCTCACAGTAGTTTTCTTTTAACTACTCAAATGTCCATAGACGTAATTCAAAACAGCTAAAGAACGCTAATCCACGAATTCGCTACAATCAACAAGAGCAGTTTTCTAATCAACAACAAACTAAGCAACTACTACAAACTGAGATGTTTTCCTCCTTTTATAAGATTTTTAAAATCACGCGCTAAATTTTCCAGTACTTTCTCGAAATCAAAAAGAGATATTTATTTATTTAATGCACGCGCTCTTGTATTTTCAATTTTCCGGCTTAGCTTTCTTTTAATATTCGTCACGCGCTGCATGCGCGAGATATAAAACCATTTAATTGTAATTGAACTAACATTAGCTTTTAAATACCAAATTCGTAACACTGCCCCCTCCCAAGGACTGCACGTCCGGGCATACAATCCTGGACAGGAAGCTAAACTTACAACTGTGGCATAAAGCAACTGAGCATAAACATTAATCACAATATCAAACACATGAACAATAAATGCAATAATAATAACTTAACAAATCAAATGCTATCAAAACTAAATACAAACAAATAGTAAATACAAATCAAATCAAATACACATTAAAACATAAAGGACCATGGCTGATATATTTACATATTTACATTAGGTACTATGGCCATAGTAATGAGCTAACCTGTCGAATGAACGACTTTAGGTTTAGAGTTCGAAGACTTACGAACCCGAACCACGACGTCTTTCAGCCTGTTTAGAACTGTGTACGGGCCATCCCAAGGTGACTGTAATTTCGGACAAAGTCCTTTCCGTCGAGTCGGATTCCACAACCACACCTTGTCTCCTTCGTGGAATTGATGAATACCAATAAGATATACCAATAAGATAGTGAAATGGTGATTCTTTCGTATAAGGATTTGGTATTTTTGATCTTGTCCTAAGTTTGAGTTTGTTAATCGTCTTCCTACTTTAAGAATTCAATCTCCATCAACGGAAACCTTTATTGGAATCAACTTTGGAGGAAAGGGAAGTCTCTTTTTTAAATAGATGTATTTAAGCTTGAATTCCGATTTTTGAATGAGCTTAACTATAGATTTAGTTGATTCTTCAAGCTCTTCATGCGATAATACGATAATACACTTTTGATTCTTTGAGCTTGTATTTCGCAATATCTGATGAATTTTAAACACCATGAGATTATTCTAATACATTTCGAAAATGATGAGCATTTTGAAATAATTTCTAACATAGCAGTAACTTGAGGTGTATCTGAAAGATGATATTGACTGGAAGAAACGATTTCTTTTCTTCGCATATGATATCAGCCTTGCGTGCTTCTTGTGGATTTCTACATAGAGGGAAAATATTATGCTGATACAACCATTGAGGTCCATGCCACCACAAAGTGTGGCATTTCAGACTTGCTGCAGAAATACCTCTCGAGGCACAATCTCCTTTTTTTTTTTTTTTTTTAAATTTTTTTGATTTTTCACGTAATTCAATGAAGCGGAGTCTTGAATTTTTGATCTTCTATTAGTAACAAAACTTTTCCATCTTTGAGGAGATGAACTAAGCCAATGTAGAACTATTTTTGAGTGCGAGTATAGAACAGTTTGATTGTGAATATTTCTCCTTAAAGATGTTTTACTTTATAGAGTCTACTTTATAGAGTCTAGAAACTAACTTTATAGAGTCTAGAAAGAAGACGAGCTGCACATAATTCAATTCTTGGTAATGTTATTGTCTTCATAGGAGCAACTTTTGTTTTTGAAATAATCAATGAAACGTGGAATGTTCCATTTTCGAATCATGTTCTTAAATAAAACACTGCAGCATATGCATGTTCAGACGCGTCGTAAAAGCCAATAAACTGTAAATTTTTAATAAAATTGTTTTACATCAAGAATCGTGAAATCTTGATTTCAGCAAAATGCTCAGTTTGATATTTAAGGTGGTTTCATGCTTAAATAATCCCATTCAATATTTTTCTTCCATAAATGCTTCATTAAGATTTTTGACTGAATCATTTAGGTCAAGCGTTCTCAACCGGTGGTACGCAAGTGAAAATAGGGGGTACGCAAAGAAGCAAAGTATTTTAACTATTAAATTCAAAAATTAAAACAACCCCAACATCCTGACTGAGTTTTTTTCTCTAAAACTCGTAAATTTATGCTATTTGAGCTTTGTTCAAGAGTGGTTGTGGTAGTAGTACTTTGTAGTGGTGGTACTAAAGGTTTTCAGTTTTGGTTTAGGTGTTTTTGTTTTTGAGCTATGCGAGATACGTATATACATACGTACGTACGTACAGACGCCACTAAAAAATCTCTTCTGAATCCATTTTAAATCAGTTTTATAATTCGTTTGGGGAAAAAGAGTCCTTTTTATTATGTCCTTACGTACAGATGTCATGTAAAAACATCATTAATTTTCATTCGACAGCGGTCAAAATCAATATTTTCGTTGAAATGTGAAATCCAAAATTTTTCGTGATTACAATATTTACTTTACTTCGTACAAGGAAGTAAGAATGCTAAATGAATCACTTTCTGTTACAATACATAAATAAATCGTTTCTTGCTCCAATTCGAACAGCTACAGTAGAGCTTATTTAGGAATTACTGCCTGTCGATTTTATTAAAAATCAGTTTAGAGTATTTAATGTTGTCGGGAATGGTTGGAAAAAAACATTTAGTAGATACTCAGAAAAAATCAGCAAAATTTTAGGGCAATCCCAAGAAAACGAGTTCTTAAAATAACATAGTTTAGCAAAATATAATGACTATAACAATAACAGTTACATATAGTCGGAATTTAAAATTATAATAGCACTGCAATTTTAATTAAGCAGTATAATAAATTTGTAATTATAGTACAGTTCAAGACTTAAATCTACAAATATAAGCGCGTAATTACGCTATAATCTCAACTGCAATATAATTGTAATTGAGACAGGTAATTATGATTATGTAACTGAAAAAGGGTTGATTGTAACAATCATAATTACACAACGATAATCGTGATAAGTAAAAGACAGAGGTAGAATCTAGCTTATTCCAATTAAAAGTTGGGTAGTCATTTTGGAGGCTAACAAGTTGTTTGGATAATGTAAAACCTTGATCGTCTGAAATTTTATTTTCTTCTGGATTTATCGAATTCAACTTCATTGCATTTCAGTTTTGTAATAACGATATTAATTAATATGAACTAGTTCTTTATTAAATACTAGTCGAGTTTTCAATGAATAAAAGCCTGATGTGAACCACCACATGTCTTCCTTGTCATCCTATTAAATTATACACATTTCTTGCTGTACTTTAATTAAATTTATTTCCTCGAATTATTCTAATTTAATTAACCGATTCCTCAAGGGAAGCTGAAAAAGAAATCAAAAACTGCAGATTTTGAAATTGAATATCCCGGTCAATTTTTGTCAAACAAACTTCTTAGAATTATATTTATTCATAATTAGTATAAAACGTTTCCAAATATAAGTGTAGGAAACAGGAGATTAATAATGCAGTAACTTGTTGCTTTAATTTCTTAAAACCAACTCCTGTTTCCCTCTTTTAAACGTTAACGAGTGCTCCGGTAATGCACTGAAAACTTTCATTTGTTTTATAAAACCACTTTCATCTAGTTTATAAATTTCGCGTGGCACGCATTCTTTTAGAGAAGTCCGGGTAAAAAGTCTTTTACCGATTTCTCAAACGAATGATGATCTGCCCTTTGATTGTCATCATGCATTTTCTGATAAATAATGTTATTTTTTCCTTACATCTTGTGAGTCATCCATCACAGCTTAGTCAGTCTCCTAGGCATAGTCACATTCATAGCATTGTAGCAAATTTTACAGCTTTTGTGGTCTTTTGAGGTGTAGAAACTGGAACATTTTTTAGTCTCATAGCTTGAAACTATTCTAGAAGAGCTGTTTCAACGTCTCTCGATTTTCCATCCGTTTTGCGTTTCCTTGAGACATTTG